ATATATATTGTGGTTAGTTGTTATTGATTGTGGTTATATTGCGAATTTACAATTTTGTACAGGTGCCGAAATCTATAAAGGTGTGTAAATACGAATATACCGAGTGATAGACTAGGGTATGTTATACGTCTTTCAAGTTGTCAGTACAGTTGACCATAGTGGACATGGTCTCCTTATCGTTTTTAAAAACAAACTATGAGGAAACTTGAAAGTAGCCTAAACACACCCTTGTTTATACAAGTACTTCATAATTTCTTTAAAAATATATACAATACCTAAAAGATAAATATCACATCAGATGTTCTTTTGAGAACCCTAGAACCCTAGGGACTATCCTTATCCGATGAGGGAGTCCAAATTAAAATTTTAACATAAACGCTTATTTTATTTGATTTTTTGTCTTTTTAAAAACGTTTGCACAGGTCAAAACTCAAAAGACGGGCAAAAGTCGACCTATTTTGTGAATTAAACAGACACTCTAGAGAGTAACATTTCGTAAGCTGTGAAGCTCGAGGCTCTGAACATGCCCTCAAAGTGACAGCCCAAAGACAATACCGAAATACGGACTCGTCCATTCTACAAAGTCCTCTAAATAATACACGTTCAAATCACGGCCCTCTGGATAGGGCCTCGAGCGGAAATCAAGGTCGTAGCGGAAATCGAAAATTTAGCAGAGACCCAAATACAGATTCCAGAGGGCCGTGTTCAAACTTTACACATCTCTCTCTCAGAAAGTAGAGGTTGAGGGTTATGAATTCATGACCGATGTAACATTTTACGTATAAAACACATATTTAACGTAAAACGTATTGAGAGAACTCATATATATTTTTCTGTTCTGGTCAATGGCCAGTCTGTGACTCTGTGACATATTTTGGTTGTCACAAGTTTTATCTGATATAGATTGTTAAAATAGTCGCGGGTGCTCATTGCTCAGTGCTCAGCTGCTCACCCAACCTGGGCCGGGCCTGGGCCCTTTTGTTGAAGACCATGGCTGTATTCTATGTTCATCGCCTTCTTCTGAAAAAAATGAAACACATAGCCCACAGGCTATGCTGTATTTAGTAATACTGTATACTGCCTATTTACTTGCACTCACAAGACTCCATCCAACCACAACTGACAACAACACAAGAATACTGTATACTGCCTATTTACTTGCACTCACAAGACTCCATCTAACCACAACTGACAACAACACAAGAGAGAGAGAGGAGGGATAGATAGAGTATTAGAGAGAGAGGAGGGAAAGATAGAGTATTAGAGAGAGAGAGAGAGAGAGCGACTGGTGAGTGTGGTGACTGGTGACTGGTGACTGGTGACTGGTGACTGGTGACTGGTCAGTGATCAGTGGTCCGTGGGCAGGGGGCAGGGGGCAGTGGGCAGTGGTCACAGTGGTCACTGGTCAGAGAGGAGAGAGAGATAGTCAGATAGACTGATAAAGAGAGAGAGAGAGGCAGAGTTACTGGGTGAGAGGAGTGGGCTAAAAAAAAGAATAGAATTACGTATTTTCACATAGCCTCCTAAATTGAACACTATGATTTTCATTTGTTCAACGAAGACTATAATAAATACGGTTTGTTTGTTTTTGTAAAAGGAAACAATACCAAAAACAAAAAAAACAAACAATTTTCTATAGCCTCTTGTTGACTCTTGACTCTTGACTCTTGACTCTTGGCTCATGGACTTGGTCTTGTTCTATACAGAATTACAGTTTTTTTTTAAATAGGGCCCAGGCCCTAGGGCCAGGGGTCGCCTGAAAGAATGTTTTTTAAAACAAAACCAGCTCTCTCCAAATATATATGGAAGGATTCCTATTATTTCATATTCCCAACCAATCCGAACCCCGCTTGCTTTTTTTGGTTTATTTTTTAGGAGGCTTTGTCTACTCAGTATGACCAATCGCGTAATCTTTCATAAGTAAGCACTGGTGTATTTAAATATTTAGCGCACTGTATTGAAAAGTTGTTCCAATTTTCATCGGAATTTTAAGATATGTTTGAGTTCAATTAATAGGACAAATCAAATTTTGTTCAGTCGTCTGTGGTATGAATACCGTACACAAACTCCTAAATCTGTGAGATTCAGATTCCTGATTATCTGCACTTTGGAAACTATAGTATATTCTGGAATACTCGAGTTCTCTCGGCGATAGCGTTAAACCATCATCACGGGACTGCTGGCGCTGACTGCTGAGTCGCTGACCGTCTGACGCAGGCTCGCATGTAGCAGCTCGCTTTAAAAAATTGGGGAGACCGAGAGAGAGTAGACAGAGAGCTGGACACATAGGTATTTAAAAAATTCGGTCTGTAGTTGTAGTAATTACACATACCGGATCTTGCATGATATAACTGGCCTCTCACGTTCCAATGTTTCTGGGTGACCATATTTTACAAACACTTCAACATTTGTCGGGAATAGAATCAATCAATCACTTCAGAGCTTTCGATAGCATCAGTATATTCGCTTAGCCATCTGGATAAAGTGGTTTTACCTGTGCAAGTCTTAAGCATCCTACACCAGTTCGTGTGTATCATACACACCCTTCTCTATATATAAGTAAGTATATTCCAGTTTCTTCGACCTTTCAATGGCGAATACGGTTTACAATCTTAAGCCGTCGGCTGTAAGACAGGTAGTATCCAACTTTAAGCATTCAGTTTGTATACCGGACCATAGTATAACCCCCTTGTGACCCGGGTGTTCCGCTTGTTCGTTTGTTGAATAAGCACAACTACCCTATATTATATATAAATACATTCTACCAATTCACTACTCTTTTCGTGCGCACAATATACAGCTCCCGATATACAACATAAATTGTAGCGGTGTAGGCATATTCACACATACTTTCTCCTGCACAAGTTAGACATTTCGAGATTCGAAATCAGACTATAGCTGAAGATATATCAGAGCACAATACATTAATTATTTGAATGTTTGCATACCGCAAGCAAAGGCAGAGTTCTCACATTCCAAATGTACGGAAGTAGTATACCTTTAGCGTTGTACAAGGCAGTAGTACCTCGCACATACATACCGCTGTCTAGCATAAGAGTCAAAGGTCTTCACACACATTTAGGCCCTTATATTGGTCCTAACACGTACGTGCCAGGACGCGTGCAGGGGTTAAAGGATCAAATCACATCGCCACCTCTGTGTCACACCCGGGCCAACCACGCACATGCTTTGAGGGCTTTGCCTCTGTCGGTAGACGGTCTCTCACAGGCTATTTATAACTACAACAATAGCATTAACGGGACCTTTCGGTTAGATCACAATCAGAGAGCCCGAGGTCGCGATTCGAGCCCTGCAAGGTACAAAAACCCAAATATGGCACTGGATAACGAACATATACAAGATATTATAGCGCATGCTTCTAAGGTGTTGGAGAGGGTAGCCACGTCCGATAAGCCCACTTCTGCGCTAGGTATGAATTTATAATTTATGTGTGCGAAATAATCTGTATGAGGATACACAATTTAATAATAGAATATATGTATATATGCATATATATGTATATATATATATACATCATATATATATATACATCATATATGTATATGATGTATGTATGTATGTACACATTGTAAACATCGTATATACATATACATGTAGTTTTATATATATTTATTTGTTTATTAAAAAATATTCATGTATATAAATATGTATTTCTATATGTCTATAGATATATAAATATGTATTTCTATATGTCTATATATATATTATATCTATATATATATATATTATATCTATATTAATATTATATCTATATATCTCAATACAACTACATATATATATATATATATATATTGCAATGGTGTAGGCATCTGCACGTATTTTGTGAACATTTCGATTCATATACATTTATATATATATATATATGATACATCAGGCGCGTATGCATACTCTTTTGACGCATTTGTCTCTAAAGTCGTGTGTATCTGCATTTGAAGATCGTTTTGATTTTTGCTTGTCATTCTCATCTGCCTTAGCTAGAGAGGTAATCATGCAACTAAATTTGTGCATAAGTAACATCATCTACTCCTTACAACAGTGTACAGTAACAGATTCAAATGTTTGCCCCCGAAAGCCGAGGGCAAACGGTCTGTGGGGGTACTGAGTGCCAGTTTCAATCCGATGACGCTCGCACATGTCACCATGGCAACGATGGCACGTGACACTCACGATTTGGACGCTGTGACCCTCTTATTGACGGTCAAGAACGTTGACAAGTCTGTGTTCGGGGCTTCTCTTCCGCAACGGTTGGCTATGTTACAAGTATGTGCGTGTATTTGTGCATATGTATGTGCGTGTACCTGTGTAGGTGTCTGTGTGTGTATATATACGGACCTCTTTGTCTCTATCGACGTTCAAATCCCACTCGTACATCGTTTCTGATCTTCACAATTGGCCTTACCTATAAGATTTCAGTTGTTTAGTGTTTTGAAGTCGCAGACATCCGTAGGGAGTCAGTTATGTGTGAATGCAATAATAGTTTTGAAGGGCTCAAACCTCAGCCTTGTTGGAATATATACGCACAAGCATTGACCAGGTGTATTCGTTGCACCCGCAATGCGGTATACACAGGCACAAGGCATAGATTTACACTCACACTAATACTATAGCCTGTACTCATCACTCACTCCACTACCAGCCTATACTCATCACTCACTCCACTACCAGCCTATAGTCTTCACTTACTCCACTACTAGCCTATACTCATCACTCACTCCACCACTAGCCTGTACTCATCACTCTCTTACCCACGCACCCGCCCTATTATATTGTCCAGGCTTTCCTGGAGTCGTCCGAGACCGCGCACTGGGGCCAGACAGACATCGTGGTGTGCAGTCACCCTCGGTTTGTGGAGGCGGCCCAGGCACTGGGTGACATATACCCGACTGATGTATGGCGACCAACGTTTCTGTTGGGATACGATACGCTGACGCGCTTCTTTGATCCGAAGTACTATACGGATATCGGCAAGAGTCTCGAGACGTTCTTCGGGCTCGCGGAGGTAGGTAGGGTTGGTACAGGAGGATTGCAATGTGGGAGTTTGCAGAGTTGAGAAATTCATCAATTCTGAATATAGCTTCTGCTTCCTCCGTAGCTCACAACATATTCGTCCTCTCCCTTTAATTGGTGATGTGCAGGTTATTGTATACAATAGGGATGACGTTACCGTCAACGATGTGGACGAGTTCATCCACACTCAAAGTCACGGATACGATGCGCAGATTGACATACTGGACATCAAGGATCAGGTATGCCCATGCTACTCTCAGTTTATTCAGAAACATTTGTTTTCTGGTTTCTCTCTCTTTTCGTTGGCACATCTCAATGCTGATCTATCAACGTATTTTCGTTCTCGCTATCACAGAATCTGCAGTGCGCGAGTTCGTCCGAAGTGCGCGAATGCGTAAAGTCCGAAACCCAGTCTCAGGCTCAGTCACAGACACCGCAGAGTGCAGACTATGCCTTGCCACGTGCTACGACAGCACGTCTGTGCGTGCCCACTGCTGTGAAGGAGTTTATCACTCAGTTTAAAGTGTATTACGCCACCCGCTAGAACGTAGTGCTGGTGGTTGGGGGGCGGGGGAAACAAATATAGAAGATGGGAACTGCATGAACTGGACTATGCGGGAAGGGGGGAGGAGGGAGGAAATATAGGAGATTTGAAGTGATGCATGGACTTTACTGTGCGAAAAGGAAGGGTAAGGGACAAATATAGATGTGAACTGCATGGACTGTTATGCGGGACAGTGGAGGAGGATGGGTTAGTAAACCTTGAGTGTGCGTGGGATGATGGCATGCTACAAGTCATTATAGATCATGGTGGTTGAGGTGTTTGCTGAGAGTCATTATGCCAGATCTGTGTATGTCGACGTATATCTCTAGTATTGACATGGAGGCGGTGATTAGCACTATATAAAGTGTATAGCATTTTTGTAGTTTTTGAGGTACATACTCTTGCTGGTAGGCTGGATTAGGTACTAGTGTAGCGTTTACCTCAGTACCGGCATCAGGGGTATCGATCTCATTTGGGTCTCTTGGATCTGATACTCTTCGATATGCTTCAGTGGATGCCGCCAACGATTTTGGAAAGCTCAGGGAGGCATAAGGCTAAGCAGCTATTCTGGATTGGATCTCGGGATCCGGTTTGTACGAGAGGATTTTTTTGAGTTCCGTTGTATGGGAAGAAATCCATAGTGCGAAAGATCAGCTACTGTTTGTAAAATGTGGCTGAGCCTCATGTTTTGTAATTTCATGCTTTACAGCGAAGAGCAAATAAAATGGTATTTAGTACTAAATAACCCATACTGTCATAAACTGAGTGGAGAACCTCATTCAGTCACTATATAGTACATATGTACCGACATTCTATTGAATCAGTTAATATGATATCTATGCGACATGTATTGCTAAGAGAATTTGTTTGATTTATTCTTAAAAGCGTGTGAGCATTCCTTTTTTTAAATGTATACTGTAGAGGCAACCAGTCAAAGTCAGTCCACTGTTAGTATTTTCAAAAGTTCAGTTTTAGGGTTTAGTGATTCTAAACGCTAAACCTCTAAAACCCTAAGCCTGCAATGGACTTGCCCGTTCTCCCATACACTTATCTCTAAAGGGTTGTGATCTGCACGCTTTTATGTGCACTTCTTTGAGGTCACTCACTGCTCTCCAGACTCCAGAACACTGGCAACATCCCTTTTTTTTGTGGATACAACCTGTATTGCATCGAGGTTGCGCTCACAGTCTCACACTTCTCAGCAAAGGTGATCTTGAATCATTGTGAAATGGGCACTGGCGGCTACGTCAACAGCGGAAATGATGACAACGGTGGTGAGCTTATTATTGACTGAGTAATTCGCCAACTTAAATCTGCACAAACACTTACGTCCGGGTCTCTGGAAATTCATACTGGAATTCTGCAGTTTTATTAGAAGTAGTTTAAAAGCAGCCAATTTGTAATACAAGGGTGGACAGCATTGGCCCTAAAGGCCGAGTGCAGGTGCATGCTCCCGGCCCTCCGGCCCAGAAGTTCACATGGCCACCCGAGTGAACCATCTGATAATAACTAAGAAACTACTTTGGAAACCTATAGTAGTTTTGGTCTAGCAGTACAGTACTTCTCCCCTTGAAGTACCGTCTGCATAAAGTAACTTAATAAATCGTTAGTTGAATAGAAGTTCTGTATCATCTGCCCTACCAGCTAATATTAAGTTGGATAGACGTTAGATTCAAGTATCACCTGGGATTCTTTTAGATCGATTTGAACTTATTAGACCGATAATATGTCTACAGCGACTAGTAGAGACGGCATGTGGGGTCCACCGTGGGTTTATGAGGGCTAGAAGCACCAAATGCTGTTGCCGTGGAACGACCGTTGGCAGAGTTTTACCCACTCGCCTGCTTATCGCAAGATTGGGCCGAAGGATCACAAGAGAGACTACCCGGCCCCTGACACTGCCTCAGGTTTCTCGGCTCAGGTGAACCTACTCCTTACCTATCTGGAGGAAAGCTTGGTTCTCGAGGTTCATATGAACATGAACGCCGATGTAACTGTGGTGGAGACTATCCACTACTTGGTAGCCAACTATGGCCCGTCGGTGTACATCTTAACTCGACCTATGCAACGCGCTACGCATGGACTTGGTGTATTCCTTGAAGGCCAAACAAACTTTGTTGAGTGAGGCATCCAAGATAGCGGTCAAGAGTGTAATCTACCGCTTGAATCAGGACCTCCGCCCCAGCCGTGTCTCAACCAACCCAGGTTTTGCTCCCCGTATGAGCATGCTCCAAGCTGTTCAGCAAGGACTACCTGTTCCGATGCCTGCCTTAGCGACTCAGCCGATTCCGAGAATGCCGCCCTTACCGAATCTCATCCCTGCGAGCCCGCCCTAGAGACCTCAGCCCTTTCCGGGCGGGCACACGAACGCACCGCCCATCAGCCACGCTGAGCAGAGGTGATTTGCGAGAGCACTTACGAAGGACACCTACGACGAATTTACGGGTGTTGATGCTTCCCGTTGAATCGAACGCTGTTCGCTGGCCTTGTCCGGCAACCACCCAGTAGGTGGGCCCTTTACCTGGTTGGGCAACAAGTGGGCGTTGGCCACCTTGGCAATTTACGACGTACATGCCGATATCCGATGGAGCCGTTCCCGAGGCTACTGGGAACCGACGAATGACCGTTACAGCTCGTAGAAGTACGTGTACCCCCCCCCACACAGTGCTACGTGCCCATTACGGAACTGTGCATTGTAGTATCAGCCGAAGACAAGCGCCAGATGAACAACAGTCGCCACAACCGCCAGGAGGATCAGCGAGCACGTGACGAGTATGATCGGGCGTGTGCCACACGTACCAAGGAACAGATGCAATGGATGGAGCGCGGGATGGCCAGACTGAGGGGTCGTCTGGCTTTGGACCGGCTCCCCCAACCGTCAGCCCAACGCTGAATGGAACAGGCTCTGGACCACCGGTTCAGTTGGTTTCTTGGCTCACTATATATGCAGATATCCAAGTACATGCGCACAATCAATGGGCGCTTATGGAGATGATGCTCCTGATCGTTCTGAAAGGCCACATTGCGATGAAACAACCACTAATTAATGTGTGGTCCAAGGACCCGAAAGAAGTTGACTTACAATCTGGAAGATTTAATTGTGGCCGTTATAACCTAACCTCTACAACTGCCCTAGCCGGCAAGTATCTTGCGGAGTTTTAAATGAACGCCCGCGGCTTAAATGCCACTGATAATGGGGCTCATCATCCCTATACGACAACCACTAGCCGTGGTATACTACCTACCCCGAACACTGGTAGCTCTACCCTTAACAGGCGATAGTCACGTTCCAACTCGGCCCCCAGGGGTTCTTCACAGCCACGCAGTTCCGCGCCACGCGACGATACTAGGGACCGCTAATCCTACAGCCGCTCACCGGGCCGTCCAGCGTACCCACTCTGTAGCCTCCGGCGTTGGAAGGACCAAAGTCCGGAGTGCGATATCTGTCATCAAACTGGGTACTTCAGATATCGTTGCCCTCTTAATCCACGCAACCCGAATAATACTAGACGGCAGCTCCACTTCGGCGGTGGCTACCACGTCGGGCTGACTGGAGGACGACGAGTGGTCCAGTCCAGTTACTCGTTAGAATGAACAGGGTGTTTGCGTGTACTCTAAGCCTATAGATATACTTGCCACCTACAACCAACGCTCGTATTTTAGCTACGCCTAGCGTCGTGTGTTTGTTTTAATATTTCCGTTTTCTTGATCGTGCATATATAGCACTACGCTATTGTAAGCCTCCCATTGCTTCATGTATGTGTTGTTTTGACGTACTGCATAATGCAGTAAAATACTTGTATCATTTTCAAGCTATATCAATGTCAAATTCGTGTCATGTTTATATGTCTGATGGTATGTGGGCTATGTGTCTACCAATAGTGATCTGTGCAACTCGTGTACATTGTATAGCTTAATAATAATTGTCCAGTCTAAATATAAGTATTTTATTAAAAACAATTTTAATCATCGAAGGCCTTATATCGGGTATACAAATGTGCTTCCATCACCCATGCATGCAGTAAGGACGCACCTCCGGCCAGACATATCATCGACCCAGGCGTCGTTGTCGGCGACTCACACGCGTTTGAATCCGCTTACGATATACGGGCACTACGTTCGGATCGTCGAAAGCATCCGCTGTCATCCATGTAGGAGAGCCTTCCAACCTTTGGTAAGATGGTCCTCTCTAGGTCATCCAACCGCTTTAGCCATGCATTATTCGTCGTAGGAATATGATCAGATAAGTCGTCAGTCATGTTTACAAACGGAACATGGCGGTGACCAAAATGAATACTGAATAGTGGTGACTTGTGACGCCGTGATATCCTGAGGTTCTGGTAGAGCATAGTAAACGGTAAACGCTCATCCCATAATTCCGGGCAGCCAACACACAATGCGCGCACATATTTGGGAATTTCCTTATGTCGGCGATCTCCCGCACCCAATGTCTAAGGGCGGTATGGTTGAGACGTCTTGTGTATAATTCACAATGCTCGCGTAATAGATTCCACGATATTGTTCACAAATTCGGTACCCTCGTCACTCTGTAACTTACGAGAAAATCCACGCTCACCAAACACCGACACTTACTCTGTCGCCACCGTTTTCGCCTCCTTCGCAGGTATCGCCCGCAAAATAGAGTATAGAAATAAATTTGTTTTCTTTTGTAGATGTGACCGCAATAGGAAGAAATATATTTGTATGTGATCCCATGGGTACCGTGCGGTAATACTCATTAAAGGATGGAATCCCTTCTTCACCGTACCATTGCCCAAGCATGTACGACATATTTTACTAACCTCTTTCGTAATTGGAAGCATTTGGTCCCAATTATGTCCGTCATCCCGCATCTGTTGTACCGTGACTGCCGGCGCCGGATGCCCTTGTTCATGAAATTGACATGTCAACTGTACACGACGGTCAGCTTCCTCGTGCCTTGGATGATTCATCACTGTAGCTCTCGCACATATCTCAGGGATTTGTTCGGCGACATGTTGCGTCCGTTTAGTCATCGTCGGATGTGCCCAGTTTTCTTGATAATGTGTACTAGCGTCTTCACATACAGGTACCTCCAGACCTAACAGATTAACTTTGTTTCCGGATGGAGGGCCAGTACGTACCACAATTGTATGCTCCCACGGGTACTTACCACAAGCTGGTGAGCCGTGTTTCAAAAATCTGTGAGCCGTGCACGGGATAAGTAGCGGGTTTTCTTGCATCATTGACAGAAGTAATGGAAACCACGATGCACGTGTGTTCAACGGTGCATGTGTGTTCAACGGTGCATGTGTGTTCAACGGTGCACGTGTGTTCAACGGTGCACGTGTGTTCAACGGTGCACATATGTTCAACGGTGCACGTGTGTTCAACGGTGCACGTGTATTCAACGTTGCACGTGTGTTCAACGGTAAACATACTGTTGCAGACGCCTTGTCATCCAACACCATACGCAATACCATATGTATAAGGCGCCATGGTGGGCTCATCCATACATTGTATTGACTCCAGTCAAATTTAAACGCCCGTCCATCCTTGTCGTACGACTAATATTTCGGAGTTGAGCGTTGTAATTCGATGCAAAGGCGTCGACGTCGTTAGGCCCGAAATGTTTTGTCAGGCCCAAAATGTTTCTGGACCTGGTCGAAGAAATCCGGATATAACTTCCAACACGGTGTGTAGAACACAGCTGGGTAGTTGATATCCGCCGTTCCCTCATGAACACAGACATGTGGTAACTTGTTCAATTCCCCAGGTACATGTGTAATAGTAACATTGAACTGCGTAATGATGTGCTGTCACCGCTGCAACATACTATTCGATTTCAGCTGAGTATTTCAAGTATATGAGAGCCTTATGGTCTGTGTGCACAGTAAACCGCTGCCCGATGAGATGGTCATGAAAGTGAACCAGAGCACAGGTAAGTGCTAATAGTTCCTTCATCGGGTTGCATACGTTTGCTGTGTCTTGTTGAGAGTCTTTGAGAAGATCATCAGGTAATGTTTGCGTTTGTTAATCAGTTGAAACCCATAGTCGCTTGCGTTCGGTTCCAATTCAGGTGGTGTACCATCAACCGGAAAGTTCGACCGGACTGTCGTCACGATAGCCTCCTTCATCTGATCCCATGCCAATTGATGTTCTGGTTTCCATCGATCCCCAATGGGTCCCTTGGGCTTAAGCTTAGAAAGCTTTGGTAGTGGAGCCATTTTATGTCCAAAGTTAGGTAGATGCTCTTGTAAAATGTTTCCCAATCCTAACGCAGGTGCTATATCCCTTTGATACTGTGGAATTGGCCAGTCAATTAATCGTTGCTGTTTCTCATGATCCACGTCAATGCCTTCAGCAAATGTCTTCTTTCCCAGGACCATCACCTCTCGCAGAGCAAAGTGATATTTCTTCTGATTAAGTTTGAAATTATTCTTCGTCAGGCGTTGAATGACCTCTTGAACCGTAGCGATGTTCTCCTGTTAGTCGTCCGACGCAATTATCAGATCATCGACGTAGCATTGCACATCCAGTCTCGCCATCAAATTGCTGATTGTGCGTTGAGATTGTGATGTGAGTGCTGTCAACCCAAATGGAGCCGACTTAAACGAGTGTTGCTGACTATCCCATGTAAACGAAAGTATGTGCTGCGAATCACGTGCACCGGTAACCGATGGTATGCGGCCGATAAACCTAACGTTCTATAGTATCGTTTGCACCTCAAGTTGCTGATGATCTCGTTGGCCTTCGGGAGCGAAAACTGATCTCTCGGAATAAAAGCGTTAATCTGCCGTAGGCCCAAGCACACCCGAACTTCGATATATTCTCCCGACGGTGTGAAAGATGGGACCGCCGACGACGGAAAATTAACAATCGACGCACATGTTCGACGATTAGTTACCAATTCATGTTCCCATTTCGTTACATGTGGTTTGTAGTTATCAGATACAAAGTTCCTTGTCTGCCGACGTAAGCCCAGCAGTTTATCCCGAGGTATAGGAAGTGACACTTCACTACCCGGTAATGTACATCGAGCCGCGTCCAAAATTGTCTCATTAGCATCCAAATATTGGCGTAATCGTTGTAGTATGTCATCTGGCTCGGGAAAATTTGGGGGTATTCGAAGATTGATCGGTTCCAGTAGATCATCCATAGCATTACGACTAATCTCCGGGAATGAAGATAATAATCCGACTAAGCCTAATCCCAGCTCTCCCATAATATCCATACCAAGTATTATATGAAGGTTATCTGGTAGGTTCATGAGTTCAAATGTACAACCCTCAGTAGTAGTTGTCCCGTATTGGACCTTTGTTGCTTGTGTCTTACCCAAGCGTGGAGTCCGGAAGGATTTGTCCACCAAATAAATGTAACTATCCTTAGCCGATGGTGTGACAAATATATGTGCTTTAGCAGCGGATGCTTGAGTGATGACTGAGCGGTTAGCGCCTGTGTCAATAAGGGCGCGCATGTCATGGCCGTTCATTTGGCAGGAAATAATTTATCTTTTACTGCGAATATTCTTGTTGCCGTACGACCAAAGGACATGCACATGTTCACATCAGGCACCCCAGCATTTTATTCCGAATCTGTTCCAGCTTCCCAACTTTCAGGTGCCTGCTCTTCTTCCATCAACTCATCGTTACTGTGCACATACGGCTCGTCGACTAAGTCATGAACATGCATCACTTCAGTCTCTCCCGTCTCAGTTGGTGGTTGATCAGGCATTACATCACCGTCCACCAAGCTAACACGAGGCCTGAAAATAGCACCCGATCCTTGCGTCCCACGCGTCGATGTGCCCGTTGCCTATGTACGTTCTAATGTAGCCCCACCATGTTGTGCACGGTTACCTGTATTGGTCTGGACCGGTAGTCGTTGTAGTTTAGGACAGCGGTTTGCATGTCCTGGTCCCGGTGAAAGGTTCTGCTCACACGACCGACAACGAACACGTGGATTCGATGTAGGCGGTGCATGCGGGTTATCGCGTGTGTTCGCATCCGTACGTAAATATGAACGTGATCGCGAGTTCCCCAGAATCTGCCGTGGTCGCAAGAACTTGTCCTGACGATTTTCTTCTGCTTTGTCAATGTTCACACGAAATACATCACGCATCTTCTCAGATGAATATCCTCGCCAATGTGGATGCATCGAAGAGTATAACGATAGTACGTTCCATCTACAGCTTGAAGTATAAGATTAAGCACCCCGTGGTTGCGGTATACCTGTAGGAGGTTCTCATACTGTCGCATCTCCATGAACTCAACTTTGCGTTCAAATTCACGAATCTGAGTGTCAAGCGGTACCGTTGCTTTCAGCTTCATGTACGCTAATGTAAACTTCGATGGAAATTACTAGGTTTCAAACCATATTAAACTAAAATACAATTTAGTCAGTTAGGATTTAGCAGTGGTAGCTTGTGTAGGAATGATCGGGACTGCCTCTTGTTAAGAGCCTAAATATCCTCGATTACACAGGGCGTACCTCTAGCTGTTCTTTATTGAATAATTTTCACTAGAAGTACTAAGTGTTCATGACCACATGCCTAATTTGTAGATAGACATAATAACGTAAGTCACGTTAATACATTAGCTGATATAAATAAAGTTCCATCTGAAGAAAAGTTAAAAAAAGAAAAAGACTTATTGGATTTTGGAGATTGGCGGGAGGACCAAAATCTATAAGTAGTAGTTCGGAGATTATAAAATTTAGTTTACAATATCCTACATCTACTAATGTCTCAAATATGTCCAAGTAGATGAGTCATACCAAATACTCAGGCTATTGGAGCCATCAAAGTGCATTTAGA